CCCTTCAACTTCCTAACTGAGGACCACAGCACCAGGTGAAGCCAAAACTGACAGTACAGTTCCTCATCTACGTCTCTCCACTCTTCATCGTCCTCCATCGAGGACCACAGTACCAGGTGAAGCCTATACTGACGATACTGTTCCTCATCTACACGTCTCTCACCCTTCATCATCCCCACAGAGGACCACAGTACCAGGTGAAGCCTATACTGACGATACTGTTCCTCATCTACACGTCACTCCATCCTTCATCGTTCCCCTCAGAAGTCTAATCTGACCTAGAAACAGTACAGTTCCTCATCTACGTCTCTCCACTCTTCATCGTCCTCCACAGAGGGGACCACAGCACCAGGTGAAGCCTATACTGACGATACTGTTCCTCATCTACACGTCACTCCATCCTTCATCGTCCCTCACAGAAGTCTAATGTGACGGTACAGTTCCTCATCTACACGACTATCCATTCTTCATCGTCCCCACAGAGGACCACACGTACCAGGTGAAGCTCTAATCAGACGGTACAGTTCCTCATCTACACATCTCTCCACCCTTCATCGTCACCCAAAGACGGTGCAGTACCACAGTACCAGGTGAAGCCTAATGTGACGGAGTACAGTTTCTCATTCTACACGTCTCTCCACCTTCATTCTCCTCTACAGAGGACCACGACACCAGTAGGGCATGATCTGATGTTACAGTTCCTCATCTATACGTATCTCCACCCTTCATCGTCCCCAACAGACGACCACGGGACCACAGTACGGGGTGCAGCCTCAAGTGAGGCAACAGTTTATGCAGACGATATTGTCTTTGTACCTTTCTACAGACGATATTGTGTTTATAGTTTTATGCAGACAATGTTTTCTTTTCGCTGCAGGCTGACCATATTTTTCTTTATAGCTTTATGCTGACGATATTTTCTTTGTCGTTTAATGCAAACGCCATTTTCTGTGTCATTTTATGCAGGCGATATCTTCTTTGTCATTTTATGCAGACGGTATTTTTTCTCTGTCGTTTTATGCAGACAATATTTTCTTTGTTGTTGTATGCAGACGATATTTTCTTTGTCACTTTATGCAGACGATATTTTCTTTGTCACTTTATGCAGACGATGTTTTCTTTGTCGTTTCATGCAGATGATATTTTCTTTGTCTTTTAATGCAGACAATATTTTCTTTTGTCACTTTATGCAGACGATATTTTATTTGTCGTGTTATGCAGATGATATTTTGTTTGTCACTTTATGCAGACGATATTTTCTTTGTCGCTTTATGCAGATGATATTTTCTTTGTTGCGTTATGGAGATGATATTTTTCTTTTTGTCACTTTATGCAGATGATATTTTCTTTGTCTTTATCGCTTTATTCAGACGATATTTTATATGTTGCGTTATGCAGAGGATATTTTATTTCTCACTTTATGCACCCGATATTTTCTTTGTCACTTTATTCAGACGATATTTTCTTTGTCACTTTATGCAGATGATATTTTCTTTGTCACTTTATGTAGACGTTTTTTCTTTGTCACTTTATGCAGACGATATTATCGTTGTCACCTGATGCTGACGATATTTTCTTTATCACTTTATGCAAGTGATATTGTTCTCTTGTACCTCCAGACGAACAATCCTTACATCCTTACAATGTATGTAAGACTGTGTACCTCGCCGGTGTGATAGTGGCTAATAATTGATTACTGTTAAAGAGACATTTGTAATAGCATGTTATGTCCGGTTTCTAAATATTATAATCTTATCGTAAAGCTATTAGTTCTTATGTTAGTGTACAGTTAGTTATGTATGTGAGTCTAGGTGTAGATGAACGGATATTTTGGTATCGATGAAAAAGAGTGTATTATGTGTTATCTGATGTGTTGTGTGTTTCGACATCATAATAAACTTATTATTATGATTATATTTTGTCTTCTTCTTGCATTGATCCTTCCGTAAACCTTACCAGGAACATATGATTGTGTGTTCAACCCCAAAAGGGTTGCATTTTCATTCAGTTGTTCGCCCCACAAGCGTTTGAGTAAGTGAGGTTAAAAGTTTACATAAGATCGACAATAGTGCAGCCATTTCGCGATGAGAATGAATTTAGGTATATATTCTATTCAAGTCCCACTATTCATAAGTCTAATATGGTCATGTCATATATATACTCTCCCAAAAGAAACGCATCATGAAAATAGCAATTTCATGTAGCAATGAATTAAAACGTGATTCATTTTACAAAAGGTTTTGCTCTGTTTATGAGTCCTATGGTGTTTATGTTTTGAAACATCACAACAAAACGCACCATCCGTAAAATACCCGTATTTAACAGCATGATTTTCAATTTCGGCGTGTAGTGTCACAGAATACACAATTCACATGCAATGCACGTGAAAGTTGGGGATCAGATAGTCTCAATGATGGGTATAAAGGTTGATCGCTGTCTGTCGATTATTCACTGTATTTGGAATATTGTTGACGAACGCAAAATGCCACGTCTAAGTGAAGCCAACCGTCATATCGCCATTGGTTTGCTTGAAGCTGGCCAGTCTCAACGTGCAGTTGCCCGACGCATGAATGTTCGCAAAGCACCATTTCACGGCTCTGGGAGAGATATCGCCGGCAGAATGCGGTAGCAGATGCCCTCGTAGTGGGCGACCTCGAGCGACCACTGCGGCGCAGGATCGCTACATCCGGGTACATCACCTGCGTCATCGAACAGCTACGGCGACCAGTACCGCTCGACAAATACCCGGATTGAGGGAGGCTTTCTGCACAGACCGTCAGGAACAGGTTGAGAGAGGCTGGTTTACGTGCCAGAAGACCTTATTTTGGCCCTGTGCTTCGACAACAACATCGTCGACATCGAGTTCAATGGTGCACCAACGTTCAGGCCTGGAACCTACCGAATTGGCGTAGAATCTGGTTCAGTGATGAATCACGATTTCTATTGGAACGACGCGATGGAAGAATGCGGGTGTACAGACGTCGACGTGAACGTTTCGCCGACGCTTGCGTTCCCCAGGTGGACAGATTCGGCCGGGGCAGTGTTATGATGTGGGGGGAGCGATCACCTGCCGTAGGAGAAGTGATTTGGTGATGATCCAGGGCAACCTGACAGCTCAACGGTACTGTGACGAAATCCTACGCCCACACCTCCTTCCAATCATTGATCGCCAGAGGGAGTTGTTTCAACAGGACAATGCCAGGCCCCACACAGCACGTCACACTAGAGACTTCCTCCAGAACCACAACATCAATGTGCTCCCCTGGCCCTCAAGATCACCGGACTTAAACCCGATCGAACATCTGTGGGATGCCCTGGACAGACAGGTGCGACGCCGTAACCCTCAGCCCCAGACACTTCAGCAACTCGCACAGGCACTACAGGCAGAGTGGGCTGCGATTGGGCAACACGAGATTCTGAGACTTATTCGTTCGATGCCGAGGCGATGCCGTGCAGTTCTGGATGCCCACGGTGGTCACACGAGGTATTGACTTCAGCGCCACCACACGTCTCCATGTGACACTCAAACTGACTTTCCTCGAGTTGGTGCCAAAGACGGATAAGTCTGCATTCCCAGTGTGCAATTTCGCTATATTTCATTGACTCATAAAGCCTACAAGATGTTTCAAAATAAACATAAAAATACAGTTGAAATTCCTATATGCGTTTCTTTTTGGGAGAGTATAAGGAATTGTAAAAAAAACTAAATAATTATTTGATCTAACGACTGGCTTAAATATGTTGAAAATGCGGTAATCAGTCTACTAATCTGAGAGAGAAAAATCACTAGAAACTTGAATGAAAACAATGCCTGAAAATATGGTGACCATGACAACGCCACTAATATGAATATTGTCACCAAATTCTTAGTTATTGTTTGTTGTGATTGTGTGAACCGACACTGACGACCACGTCAGTACCTAGTGTAGCCACCCCTCACACGAAAACATCTGCCCATGCCCTCCTAAAAGTTGTTCCATGGGGTTCATACCTGGCTGCTTAGCAGATCCCCATGTGCGAAAAAATCCAACACTATCCTTCGATGACGACTGAATTCAAATGAAATAAACGTCACCTAGCACATGTTCAGAACGATAATAATGACGCCACACTGTGAAATAATTTCACTTGCGAAAGAATGATTTACAGTTGCAACGTCATGGTTTTTGAGAAGTTCTTTGATCTTATCTTGTTTACATCATGATTATTGCCTCGAAAATGCACAAATATGACTGAAACGTTTTTGTGTGGAGGGTTACACATAGTATGTGTAGTGAGTAGTAAGTCCAGTGACGTCACTCATTCATAACGTTGGGTTATGTATCAATGCGCCGATACAATGAGAAAGGACGAAATATGCATCGATTTGATCCAAAAGTGGTAAGATTTTAGGGTGTGTAAGAAACAGATTACTGTACTCGTTGTAAGATAAATGGAGTCTGACAAACTCTCGTTTAGTTTCTTTTGAGGCCCGGGTTAGAATTGATCTTCAGCAACCCATGCTTGTCGTAAGAGGCGACTTACGGGATCAGTTGACAAATGTCATCGTATCCAAATTGCGAGGATCGATGCTGATGATGTTGATCACATGGTTGTCTGATCATTTACAGAGTAGTAACGTTTACATCTTGATGTGCAGTGCTAAAGAGTAAATACGGGTACATATGAGAGTGATTGAGTGAATGAGTGAGTGAATATCTTTTTACGTCGCTTTTCGCAAAATTTCAGCAATATCATGGCGGGGGATACCAGAAATGGTCTTCACACATTGTACCCATGGAGGGAATCGAACCCGGGTCTTCGGCGTGACGAGCGGACGCTTTAACAACTTGGCTACCACAGAGTAGACAGAACCAGCACGCATGACAACATAGTGTCCAATATTCGACTGCCCAGTCATAACGACACTAGTGTTTCAACAAGCAGGGACATGGTTCATGTGACAAGGAAATAGTGTCAAGTGAAACTACACGAACATCAACAGCTCAAATCTTTCAGTGTTAACCAGCTGCTGACTATGTTTCTGTTTTACACTGTGACCGGGTTATTTCATGTGTGTGGTATGTATCTGTCTTCACATTCTATATAGCCATCTTTGTGACTGTTTTCTTAATTAATACTGGATATTCTGTCAGTAAGCATACGTAATGATGACTGGTATTATTTTTGCGTGCAGGTCAGTATGAACTTATCACGCCAGTTTCAAATATGTTTTGTTTTCATATAGCGCCTAGTACCAGTCGGTATAGTTGCTCACTGGACGCTGATCACAATCTGATTATTATTACCCTGGATAACCGAAGCTGCCTGTAAGGCGCTAGAAGATTAATAGTCACATGACTTATCTCACCGGGTAACCAGTTTCTGCTGTACCCAGTTAGTATATGATATGTTAGTATGTTCAGCGTAGTGTAGGCCACATGTTAGTATATGATAAGTTAGTATGTTCAGCATAGTGTAGACCACATGTTAGTATATGATAAGCTAGTATGTTCAGCGTAGTTTAGGTAACATGTTAGTATATGACATGTAAATGTGTTCAGCGTAGTGCAGATCACATGTTAGTATATGATATGTCAGTATGTTCAGCGTAGTGTAGAGCACATGTTAGTTTATGATATGATAGTATGTTCAGCGTTGTGTAGATCATATGTTGGTATATCATATGTATGTATGTTCAGAGTAGTGTAGATCACATGTTAGTATATGATATGTTAGTATGTTCAGCGTAGTGTAGACCACATGTTAGAATATGATATGTTAGTATGTTCAGCGTAGTATAGATCACATGTTAGTATATGATATGTTAGTATGTTCAGCGTAGTGTAGACCACATGTTAGTATATGATATGTTAGTATGTTCAGCGTAGTGTAGACCACATGTTAGTATATATGATATGTTAGTATGTTCAGCGTAGTGTAGACCACATGTTAGTATATGATATGTTAGTATGTTCAGCGTAGTGTAGATCACATGTTAGTATATGATATGTTAGTATGTTCAGCGTAGTGTAGACCACATGTTAGTATATGATATGTTAGTATGTTCAGCGTAGTGTAGATCATGTGTCAGTAATGTGTGTAAGATATGTAAGTATAGTGCATACATGTATATGAAGCACTGTGTCTGGGATATATACATATTATACAGTGTAAACAATCATAATAAACAATTACATAGATACATTACAAAAATGTGACAAAGTTTGTTTGTATATATTAAGAATACAATCGTTAGGGTCCATAGATATCACTTTATGGACTCCTCTAAAATTAATGTAATTTACATTTTCCGAAAAGTTTACATTAAAAATGCAAAATTGTGTCTGTTTGACAACTCATCCCACAGAAAATACTATAACGCCTCTTCATAAAAGTTCTTTCCTCTTTACATGATGTTGTCTCTTTGTTTGGGGGCTTATATGTGTGTGGTATGTATCTGTCAACTAGTACTATATTGAGCTGACTTCAATAAGGTGCTTGAATAATTCTGTCAACTGTTAACCTTGTTTTAACGACGAATACTTGTTTTGCGTGCAGGTCTTGCCTCCATAACAACTGGATACCCACACACTGTTACACGTGTTGGCGACGATGTTAACATAACCATGAACCCAGCGAATGTCACATTTCCATACTACCTATGGATGAATGGTTCGGTAGCTGAGAGACTGTTACTGGTCATGCCTAAGTCACACCGTGTATGGGTACTCAACACCAGTCACACCGGCTACAGGACCAGGATCAGATACACCAGTGAGGACTCGCCATCACAGACAGGACAGCTGAGGTTTACCATCTACAATGTTTCTGTACAGGACGCTGGTACTTACTACTGTCAAGGAGCCATTAGACAGACAGTTACTGGATGTAGACAGGTCCTCGTTGTAACACGTGAGTAGGATATGGATTTAACAGACTATTATTTGAAGAATAAAGCTGGACTATCTTAATGTATCTCCAACATAATTAAATAGCTGTTCAGTCTTCTACTGCAGCAGAAGAACTTTTGGTGAGGTGAAATGGGGGGTTAGATTATTGTATAAATGGCGACATGGATACGGGTGTGTGTGTATGTGCCTGCGTGATCGCGCGTGCGTATGTGTGTTTGCGTGTGTATGCGCGCGTGTGTGTGTTGTATGCATGTGTGTGATGTATGTGAACTATGCTTGTTCACCGACCAAGAAGCAGTGTCACAGTTTAACATGGATGAGTGTATCCGAGTCGATCAGTCTTGCATCTTTTAACACACTTGCTATAACGCACCTGGTAGTGACACCGTCGACCCTCCTCTCTCCGGAAAGTACATTTAACTCGTTTCAGTAGAGGCAGCCAGTAGTTGTGTGGTAACTATCATATTTAATCAACAAAACGGTAAGGAGTATTAGGATCCAGTGAACATGTATTCCCTGCTGTAACTGTGGAACACTCAGTGAGTGAGTGAGTGAGTGAGTGAGTGAGTGAGTGAGTTTTTAGCAATACTCCAGCAATATCATGACAGATAACATCAGAAATGGGCTTCACTCATTGTACCCATGTGGGGAATCGAACCTGGGTCTTCGACGTGACGACTGAACGCTTTAACTATTTAACATTTGATAGATAATAATGATAAACAGTATATAAATACAAGTATGAAAGCATTTAGTAACATCTTGTTCAATGGCACTCGTGTTACGGTCTGAGCACATTTGTTATATTTGTTCACAGAGAAGCCAACCAGACCTAACATCACCGGACCTGCCTCACCTGTATCAGGTGAGAATGTCACCCTGACATGCTCCTCCTCCTCCCGGAGTCTACCCCCGGACCATCCCCCACTGACCTTGACCTACATTTGGAGGAGGGACAGGACCCGGGTAGAATCTGGTGATGAGTCTCCTACAGGTGGAGATGACCTGACAATAACCCACATCAGCAGAGAGAACCATGGAGACATCTACAGCTGCCAGGCCGTGGAGGAGGGGCTGGAGTCTGACTGGAGTCACGGACATGTCCTGGATGTTCTCTGTTAGTAAGAACTTACTTTGTTTTAGGTATAGAACTTCGTGTATCTTATCTTTGAAACTGTGCTTCTGAGTGATAGTTTTCTCACTAAATTTTATCCTGAAGTACCGTGTTCTGTGTAAACGGAACAGAAATTCTTATTGTGAAAGTTCGAATAGGAAATATAGGCAGGTCTGATTTAATGATCCATTCAAAGTTTTAGAGTTCCTGACGCTATCGAAAATGCTTCTATTTTCACGGCACTGTAAGCTCACCTGGATATGTTGTCAAGAGTTGTACATAGCAACAGAGTGGGTAAGTGAGTTACAACGGTGTTTTAGTTGTAGTCTGTACTTATTGTGGGAGGAAAGCATAAAATGATATGGGTCTGAGACGTTTACCATTTTGTGAATCCCAAGACCACAGGCCAAGCCAAACAACATGTCTTCATTCACTGAAGCAAACTGCACTTATATCTCAGAATAGTTAATCAGCTGACCATCTCACATGCATTACAGATGGACCTGACAAGATACAGTTTGACGACACAAGTGACAAGCTGGAGGTAGAAGAAGGGAAACCTGCAGCTGTGAGATGTTCTGCTGACTGTAACCCTGCCTGTACTGTAACCTGGTGGAACGTCTCCAGACAGACGGTGATTACAGGACAGGGGGAGGCTGTGTTGTCTTTACCAGCTGTAGATGTATCTGTGTCTGGACTGTACACGTGTCACGTCAACAACACACATGGGAGTGCATCACGGAACCTGACGCTGAAGATCTCCTGTAAGTCAACACTTCAGTATCAGAATCTGTTATATACAACCTGTTTTGGGGGATGACGCCTGTTGGGACGGCCTCTTTTCGTACACCTGATCGTGGTGGGTAAAACACCTGCTAGAACACCTGCTGGAACACCTGCTAGAACACTGAAAGTAATGGCACCCAAAGATTTAAAATAACAAAAGACCTTTTAGATGTCACTCAAAGATTAAATATAATTAACCATTTGAAACCGTTATATTGATGAAGAATTTAATTTTCACTATGATCTGATGGCATTATCACTCCAATGAGTCTTAACTTTCAGATTCTCCAAAAATCCCAAATGTTTCCGTTAATTCGAAAAAATCAATTAGAAACCCAGCCCTACAGAATACAGTGCTCCTGAAACTCTATTTATATGAGGAATATAATTTGACACTTTTCGTTACATATTTCCGTTTCTTCACCCTGCACAAATGAGAACACTGATGTTACCGACATTGCATGTCCTCCTGTGAAGCTGATGTTGACAATGACGTTGTTGTTGGGGATGTACAGCGTACCTCATCAATCACTTACAAAGCGTGGCACGGAAAGGTTATTTCAGATGAACATCGCAAGTGTCAACCCATTTAATATGTTTTGAATCAGGTAAAACCTCCCGAAGAGGCTTGATGTTACATGATTATACCCGTATGCATACTGAACTGAATATTGTCCATATTAAATGTTTCAGCACGTGTAGTTACTGAATCTAGTGTCGTTACCATCGTCCCCGTGGCTGCTGTCTGTTCCGTCCTGATCGTGGTCATCGCCGTTGTCGTCATCGTTGTTGTTTGTAGAAAACAGAGGCGTGGAGGTAATCCGGTGTGATGTGAGAGTGAATGAAGATAACCCGAGAGTCACGTAAAGTTGTCATTACGTTTACATCACGTAATCGATGTGTGTGTTCAGTGTATCGTCACCCGGAAATAGTTGGCTCCATAGAATAGCAAGGTCAATGCTTTCAAATGAACAGTCACACGATGATAGTGCATAAGAAAGATAGACACGTTCCTTTATGTGAGTGAGTATGGTTTTACGCCGCTTTTAGCAATATTTCCGCAATATCACAGAAGGGGACACCAGAAATTGGCTTCACACATTGTACCCAAGTGAAGCATCGAACCCGGGTCTTCGGCGTGACGAGCGGACTCTTTATCCACACATGTACTGAATTATATATGACAGTGTGGGACAATGCTTTGGGTGAGATAGGCGGGGAGGGCGATGTTGGATGGTTACTTCAGAATACGGTGTACCCCCAAAACGGATATATACCAATACTAACCAGCAAAAGAAAAGCAATTCAAGAAATCAAAACTCACACTGAATCTTGAAATTTAAGAGCCAAGGAGAAAGGGATATATGTGAGATATTTTTCAAAGACAAGTTCAGATTTGAATACGCGATACATGGTACCCTTAGAAGAATTCGAAATCTCTGCGCTCCATGTTTGGGTTGTTATATCATCTAAGCCTAAGGAGATAATAGTTTTAATTTCATTGAGAAAGACAGCTGGTTGACTTACCCAGCAGATGCTATAGCCTGTTTCATTCAAAACGGCTTCCACGGATTTGATCTATTTTTGGTTGCTATTGTTTATGCAGGCTTCATTATATAACATTTGGTATACAATTGTTGACAGCTTTTGTTCTTTACCAGATAGGAGTCTAGCCCAGAAATATACCATGCGACATTTGATAGAGTTATTTAGGGGTACCCTTCCAAGTTCTCCATATAGCATTATAATGGCGTGCTTCTCTTAACGGGAATGAATTTGCGTAAAAGTTTACATGAACGGATTCTATAGATTTACAGTTTTCAAAACCCCATATTTCGCAGCCGTATAACAGAATTGGCTTAACCATGGTGACCTCGATTTGTCACCCAACGGCGCCGTTCCAGTCGATGTCTGTTGGTGAGGATGGGTCCACGGTAAGGTCGACGGCAATGTAAGCCTGCCGCTAGGAGTCGTCAACGCACAGTTCTTTCGCTGATAGGGCGCCCCATAGACCCAATCACGGCATTAGCAGTGCTTACTGCCGCCTGCAGACGGTTCCGGAGGTGCTGAAGTTGGATTATCCGGTCCTGTCTTTGTGACGTCACACGGGGGTGTACCGGAACGGGGCGATCAGAAACGCTGCCAGTTGCCACTACCCGTTGCTGCAGACGAGTTATTGTCGAAGGGTGCACCTAAAAATGTCGGTCTACACGAACTTGTCGAACTCCAGCATTCAGCATGCCTATTGCTTGGTGTCTCTCCATTTCACTTACACGTGGCATGTTGCGGTGAAATGACAGCATTACGACACTGCCTGCATTTGTAGCCCTACGTCCACACTCTGCACGTGTGTCATGCATTTCATCCTTGCTTGTTTCTCCCTAATGATTTGGAACACCATCCTGCATGGTGAATGCTTTATCATCACCACATCATACTTGTGTTAAAGTATCAAATCCAAACTCATGCTGAAAAAGTACAATTTTCATGAATTCTGAGTTGCGTTTCTATTGCTGGTCAGTATATATACACCTATACAAACGTTAAGCAATACTAATATGTTTTTAGATGTAATGTCTTTACTATAACTGTAAAACATAAATAATACTTCGGTATGTAGCATCTGATGTCCATTTCCACCCAGTTACTCAGTAAAACGTTATCTGGCAAGCATTTCACTTTATATTGACATGTTATACATTTTCAAATGATCATTTTGTCCTATTTATACTTCCTTATATCATATTTTTCACGTCCGTGTGGTGGATTTTGTTTAAATGTAAAGATGTCCTTGATGGTGTCTATTAGTATTCATTCAGGAAGTAAATGTGGGGAAATTGAATCTGAGACCAGCCTTTAAGGAAGAGTTTATAGTGAGTGAATATGAGCAATATCACGACGGGGACACCCGAAATGGGCTTCAGACATTGTACCCATGTGGGGAATCGAACCCGGGTGTTCGGTGTGAAGAGTTTATACCCTTAAGAGACACTATTATTGAGATCATATGCAAAACCTTTCACACCCATAAATAGAGTGAAAATTGAATATCTATGTCATAAGCTTACATGAGAAGTTAGATGTAAATTACTTAAAACTGTGGTGGTATCTACTTGACATGTCCTTTTCTGTGTGTGTTTCAGTCCAACATAGACTCATTTCACTTCTCTTATATAACCGTCAAGATGCATTTGAACAGCCTGAGAAATATGAATCATTTCTTTTATATAACCCTAAAGATGCTGGAACAGCTTGAGAAATATGAATAATGTCTCTTTTATAACCGTCAAGACGCTTGAACTGCATTTGAGATATGAATCAATAGTGTGCACACATTTACATATTTGATGGCCTTTAGCTTTCAGTGAGTGAGTGAGGATGTTTACGCCGCTTTTAGCAATATCCCAGCAATATCCCAGTGGGAGACACTTTAACCACTAGTCTTACCATCCCAACAAGGACTTCAGGACACCAGTGTTACTTAGCTGACAGTCACATATCGTTCTACAAATTTCAAGTTATTTATGTCTACTTCAAAGGTATGCAAGTATACGAGCAATTCGTTTATCATATATTTTTCATCTAACATTTTGCATCTACACAATTATATCTTTCAGGAAGGGGAGACATTCATAGTCGGTGAGTATCTGCTATCCAGTGGGTAAGGCAAATGGGTAAATTTAAACTTAGTAGTATCTGCTCTTTTCAAGGCTATTGGGTAAACAGTTGGCAGTATCTGCTATCCTTCAAGGCTATTGGGTAAACAGTTGGCAGTATCTGCTATCCTTCAAGGCTATTGGGTAAACAGTTGGCAGTATCTGCTATCCTTCAAGGCTATTGGGTAAACAGTTGGCAGTATCTGCTATCCTTCAAGGCTATTGGGTAAACAGTTGGCAGTATCTGCAATCCTTCAATGCTATTGGGTAAACAGTTGGCAGTATCTGCTATCCTTCAAGGCTATTGGGTAAACAGTTGGCAGTATCTGCTATCCTTCAAGGGCTATTGGGTAAACAGTTGGCAGTATCTGCTATCCTTCAAGGCTATTGGGTAAACAGTTGGCAGTATCTGCTATTTTTGACAGCTATTTTGTGATTTGCCACATTCTGAAAAAAGCGGACTGTTTTATAAATATTCCTTGATTCCAACCACTTTCTACATTTCTTTCCGCCCAGCGTTGTCACATACATCCTTGACGCAGAAACTACGACGGGGATACCAGGAGATAGAAGGTTCGTGTTGTACGTCATCGTAGACCCTTAAACGTCACATGAATTCATTCAGATAAACAGGTCGTAGCGAATAATTAAAAGGGCAATGTTATGAACCATGTCTGAAAACAGTCCTGGAATTTTAGCTGTCAACATAGAAAACTAAAGGCCTATCATAAACTATTAGCTCCGAGTGACCTTGGGCGTTGGGGTATCCCAGTGGTTAAAGCGTTAAAGCCGAAGGCCCGGTTTCGATTCCTGAGATGGCATCAATGTGTCAGGCCCATTTCTTGTGTCCCCTGTCGTGATATTGCTGTAACATTGAAAAAAGTCGCGCAAAACCCAACTCCCTCACTGACTGACTGACCTTCTATTGGAACGTGTATCGGATGCTGTCCATATATCGCGTCTACGGTGCTAGATCAGTGCACTATATTCAAACATGTACGGATATGTGATCGGTGCACAATAATACAGGCATCTGTGCTTAACCTTGCAGTTTGTATGCATAATTAACTGCTGAACATTGTCACTTTCAGAGAGAGGATACGTTCATCAGCGGTGAGTATCTTCATCAATCTTCAAGTAGGATGAATAAATATTTCATCTCACACAGTGATACATAGCTGAAGATCTGATATAGAATTGATCCTCAGCAATCCATGGTTGTCGTAAAAGTTAACAAACGAGATACGGTGGTCAGGCTCGCTGACTTGGTTGACTCATATCATCGTATCCCAATTGCGTAGATCGATGCTTATGCTGTTGAGCACTGGATTGTCTGGTCTAGACTCGATTATTTACAGACCGCCGCCATATAGGTGGAATATTGCTGAGTGCGGCGTCAAACAACAAACAAACCGACATCGCTATCAGAGCAAAACTATGCACGATTCGGAGCGATGTAAATTGAGAGTGTGTCACAGCTTTATAACTTCCTTTTTCATTTTACTCAAGTTTAATACTCATTTTATCATCTTGGTTTCGTATCACAGGGAAGACGAAAACGACGGAGCTACCAGGAAATAGAAGGTTGGTGTCTAAAGGTTAACTACAAGCATGATGTGTAACGGCTGTGAAACTCGAACTGTGAGTGTATGGTACTGATATGTCGATTGAATGTAGCTCGAACTATCTCCCGTCTGAAGTCCAGAAGCCTGGAATAGGAGTCGTGTCTTAAAACCCATATACATTGGATATAAGTCAAATCGTCAAGGTTACGGTGTAATATTTCAAGGAAAGGGAAAAATACCGATTATATGATTTAAAATACCCATCATAGAATAGTTAATATACTGTAAATATACATTTCCTAAGTCAAATCGTTTATATTATATATATAATACTTATGACACTTCTTAATTTCCATGTACATAACAAGGATTCGGTGATATGCCATGTTGGAAAACAGATCCACTGGCCTGTACAGCTGTAACAGGTCATACTTCCCGTCATACATCAAGAATGATTCTTCCATCTTCATTGCTTGCTTCCTTTGTTGCGTTATGCGATGTAGACAGGGTTCCAGTAGCGTATAAAGAATCGTAGTTTCTTTGAAAAAGTAGACACAAATAGTATTTCCTCCTAATGTCCTAAACCCAGTATCTATGCACTGAAAGGAATAAGGAATATTAAAGACGAATCCTTTATGTTTCAAATACGATGTTGACAGGACTCTGTTAGCTAATGAAAATCGATCGATGTTTCATTAAAAAGACACACAAAACCCCAGAACTTCCTCTATTTCCTCCTTATGTTCTCAAACCAATATATGCATTTAAACGAACAAGGAATATTAACAGAACATTTCTTATCATTCATATACGTCTCTGCGTTCTCATATAAATTACCATACTAATTACATATTTGTTAACTGTGTGTTATATCAGAAGGTGATGACAACGTCGACGACATCGTCCCCATCGTAGCTGTCTACTCCATTATGCTCACTGCTGTTGCAGTTGTGGTGGCAGCAGTTACTATTCTTGTCTGCAAGGACGTAAAAGGTACGATGAATACATGAATCTCTTTGAATGCAATGTAAGTTTCAATCCCTCCTCCACTCTCCAACACACCACAACCAACACGAACTTACACCAAAGTGAAGAACCAGGTCAGAGCTGGTCTTCTACAACTTATTTGCAAGCTCGTCATAACAAGTGAGAAACGCTGGCTGATTATGGCCATGCATGTATACCCCAGTATCCCAATTGCGTAAATCGATGCTCATGATATCAGTCACTGGGTTTTCTTGACAAGTCTTGATTATTTGAAACAATCGTAATATAGCTGGAATATTGCTGAATGCAGCGTTAAACAGCAAACCGTCATGTCTGTAGTTCACCTTCATATGCTGAAATCTTTTTTTCCATTTTGTTTTGTAAAGGCTGTTTTGACCAGTAATTTGGGCAGTCGGGAGCCAAGTGGTTAAGGCGTTCACGCCAAAGACCTAGGTTCGATTCCCCACATGGGTACAATGTGTGAAGCCCTATTTATGGTGTTCTGGTTTTGGTGATGTTGATGGACTGTGCTAACAGCGACTCAGTCACTAACTGTTATTCAGTAAATGGAAACGTGGACGAATCTTTCCGTTTAGAAATTTACAAGTTTGTCTTTGCTTTATTACTGCAGAAAACCAGGACAGAAGGTACATAAGTTTATTGTTTCACATTAAGTGCTGGAGTTAGGTATGGTAATAACCAGTTAACAAACCCTCATATATGTGTCCAGTTGCAATCTCCTGTGTTAAACACCATTTACTCAACTTACCCCAGAAAACTAGACCCTAACTGAATAAACGAAGCCCGTATAGATTATCTGTGGAAATGACGGAGAAAGTCGTAATTGGATCTATGTAAGAAATGTACGATTTGTTATGAAAGGATTGCAATCTATGATCACTGTTGAGGTCTTTTTTAGGATTTCCAATCCATTTATGATTTCTGTTCCACGCAGCATGAAAGCAAAATACATACACTTCTGTGCAAGACAACTTTATGTGCAATGTAAGTGTAATGTTGTAATTACAGATGTGGTGAATATCTTACTGTGATGGCAGAGAGATTGTCCCGTGACTTCAGTGATGTACCTTGTGCTTCCAACAATGACGGGGATGTCTTACCCCTGCATGATTACGAGCGACTCCTGAGGGAACAGTTTCACATCTACACGTCTCTTCACCCTTCATCTTCCTAACTGAGGACCACAGTTCCAGGTGAAGCAGAAACTGAGGCAACAGTTCCACATCTACACGTCTCTCCACTCTTCATCGTCCTCCATCGAGGACCACAGTACCAGGTGAGGCAGAAACTGAGGCAACAGCTCCACAGCTATACGGCTTTGTTCCTGTCAGGTCTTTTGCAACGAACCAGAGTACCAGGTGAACCCTAACGTACAGTTCCACATCTACCCGTCTCTCCACCATTTGTCTGTCTGTACCGAGGACGACAGCTCCTCTAGTCAGCACGATTTCCACCTCTACACCCTACACCCTACACCCTACACCGTTCCAGGAGAAGCCTAACGTCCAGTTCTACATCTACCCGCACCATTTGTCTGTCTGTACCGAGGACGACAGTACGAAGTAAAGCCTCTAGTCATGCACGATTTCCACCTCTACACCCTACACCCTACACCCTACACCGACCACAGTTCCAGGAGAAGCCTAACGTCCAGTTCTACATCTACCCGTCTCTCCACCATTTGTCTGTCTGTACCGAGGACGACAGTACGAAGTAAAGCCTCTAGTCATGCACGATTTCCACCTCTACACCCTACACCCTACACCCTACACCGACCACAGTTCCAGGAGAAGCCTAACGTCCAGTTCTACATCTACCCGTCTCTCCACCATTTGTCTGTCTGTACCGAGGACGACAGTACGAAGTAAAGCCTCTAGTCATGCACGATTTCCACCTCTACACCCTTCATTCTCCTCTACAGAGGACCACAGTTCCAGGAGAAGCCTAACGTCCAGTTCCACATCTACCCGTCTCTCTTCTCTTCAGTTCCCCTATAGAGGACCAAGCACTTGGTGTAACGTCATGGGCATGACAGCTTCTCTAGTTAACATCTCTCAGCCGAACACCACGGCGGACGATACGAAGAAACCAAGGAAGCACTGATGATCTTCTACAGTTGAGGTCGACATCGACACTAAGACTTATAGGATAGGTATTTCTTCTCATATCATAAATCATGCCAGCACATTTTCTTTGCCTGTAACAGACTTAGAGAAGGGATGCAGTGCAGTAACACCGGAATGTCTTTTGACATCAAATATATCACCCCGAGTTGATAAAGTTACAAATATCCTATGCTTGCCGAGGATATTTTTACTTTTATCAACGAGTCTTGATATTTTTTATATCAGAAGACACGCGGATGAGATTCTATCTATCATCAAAAGTCATTCTTCATTATGTTTCAATGAAAAATGTACATCTCTGAACACGGTACTGACTTACAGTGCAGCGATGCCATAGCATTGTGACGTCATCAGGATTTTGACGTCAAAGCATTTTGAGTCATGTAATTGATGATGTCATGGCATTGTACAAAATCTGCTGTCAAAACGATTTCTCCAAGGAGATATATATCGTTTGATCTCACACAAGCAATATCTCCTGTGGAACACAGTTTTGGATGATAATTAGAGAATACTAAACGATGTCCCGTGTAATACCATATTTATGAAACTCGTGAATGGTTTGGTATCTATCGAGCAAAAGTGAGTTAGATACCAATACCATTCACGAGTTTCATAAATATGGTATTACACGGGACATAGTGTAGTATTTTATTTGTTACTCACCCAACATTAGTAAAATAATATCGAGCGAAAACTTCTTTCCTAAGAATTCAAGCAGTGTGATGAGTCTCAGCTTTCCGCGAGTTAAGCATGGTCTAATACCATTGTGACATAGGTATTAGCATTGTGACGTCATAACTGTAAACCACTTTGACGTCATACGTACGGCATCACGCGATGTTATTACACAATTGTAAAAATTTTAAACAGTGCTATTTTCAACGGGTGAGTAATAAATGCATATTCTGTACATTATGTCCACTGTCCGATGTAGTAACTGTAGTAACGAATGCATGGATCTTTCTTGTACAGCAACCATTTTTTAAACATATGTTTACAAATGAATATAGCCTTAACCTATTCTTTTACATTTCAGAATTATTACGTATTGTCAATAAACAGGTGATATTTAATCGTCTATATTTGCATTTATCTGAAACATAACGAGCTGGATAAGTTGTTTAAGAGGTGCAAGGATTGTCTGGTCGGGCTGATTCTCTGCAATTCATAGGTGCCATAACCGCATGGTCCAAGATTCGGTTTGATTATTTTATCAAGATATAAGATAGGAAGTTTTTTCGCATAAGCTAGGAAAATCTCTTGGATAAGCTAGGAAGCTGTGGTGGACAAGCTAGGAAGTTCTGGCGGATAAGCTAGGAAGAACAGGTGGATAAGTTTGGAAGTTCTCTTGGATAAGCTAGGAAGTTCTGGTGTATAAGCTAGGAAGTACAAGTGAATTAGCTAGGAAGTACAAGTGGATAAGCTAGGAAAAATAAGTGGATAAGCTAGGAAAAATAAGTGGATAAGCTGGGGAGTTCCGATGGATAAGCCAGGAAGTTCTGGTGCATAAGCTAGAAAGTTCAAGTGGATAAGCTAGGAAGAACAAGTAGATAATCTAGGGAGTATAAGTGCAGAAGCTAGGAAGTTCTAGTTGGAAGCAGAGGATGCGACGCTTGGGAGGGAAGCCAGGACCTGTAGCATTACGCTCACCAGGAGAAGATTAAGGCATCTATATATCTGAGCACACAGAAGTACTCATACAAAGTCCAGTGAAGATCAATGGGGATCAGAGTGTCTTGGTGTGAGAGAAAAGTTAGAATGTAATTCCTCACATTATCAAATGATGGAAGGGAAACTTATCTGTGTTTTAAGAACTGTGTGAGATTAGGCTGTTGCCAAAACCAATGCCGATGTCAGACAGAACAGAGGTTCTTTTACTGACGCTTCAACTCGTATGTTTGCATACATGTTTATTGATACCTGTACAGCTCGATAAGTGTGACCCAGTGTAATAAGGATACGGAGTTAATATACAGCAATCCGTGTAAAGATCCCTTATTCCCCCTCAAAAAGCCCAATAAAAGTACAGGCGTATCATAAGTGTACAACTTTTGTCGATCCACTACATTGATGTGCCCCGTAAATATGAACCAGGTTTTCCGCGTAGCGGGTGAGGCCATTAACCACTTATCTACCCCATCGCCCATTGAGAGATAGTACATTCTCACTATTACACATCAAAGTTGATTGGTTGGTTTGTTGTTTAACCCTGCATTCAGCAATATTCAGCTCCACGGCGGCGGTCTATGAATAATCGAATCTGTACAATCCGGTGATCAACAGCATGAGCATCAATCTACGCAATTAGGATACGATGATATGTGTCAACCAAGTCAGTGAGCCTGACCACCCGATCCCGTTAGTCGCCTCTTACGACAAGCATGGGTTACTGAAGATCAATTCTAAGCTGGATCTTCACGACTTCTATCCACACAATTTCTCTACCACGTGTACTTTATAGCTGTCACGATGTCATGTCTACACTTATGGTAGATACGTAACACGATTAGCGAGGTGAAAACGAAACCGGATAAAAAAGCCCTTTTTATGAGAAATGTTCGTGCTATTTTGAGATACGATCTAGCATGATAATGGCGAGATTTTTTAAAGCTTAAGGTGGATAAAAGTATGTCAGTGGAACAGTGTTTGAAATAATACACGCCCACTGAAAATACAGGTATTGGTAAACATGTTTAGAATCATTGTGGATGTTTTAACTGGTTTTATTGCATCAAACTGTTATATAGTTGTTTGCTCATTCCACTCACGGGGGCGTGGGGTAGCCTAGTGGTTAAAGCGTTGGCTCGTCACACCGAAGACCCGGTTTCGATTCCCCACATGGGTACAATGTGTGAATCCCATTTCTGGTGTTCCCCGCCGTGATATTGCTGGAATATTACTAAAAGCGGCGTTAAGCCATACTCACTCACTCTCTCACTCACTCTACCAAACGCAAAAGAAACCACCCACCCCAAACCCCCTTACTCCCCCCCTCCAAAAACCAAACGCACCTACCACCCAAGCCACTCACTCACTCACCTAAACGCACCCACCCACCGCTCACTCACTCACTCACTCATGAGACTATATAGCTACTGACCGATCCAGGGTCATCACCCAGTGAGAGTGCCGGGTAAGAATTTATTAGAACCTTGGGGATCGGGTGGTCAGTGACTTGGTTTGTTGTTCGAAGTTCTCATCTATCACCGGATTGTATGGTCCAAACTCAACTGCTTTCGGGCCGCTATCAAATATCTTAATATTTGAGCGCAGAAAATATACAGCACGAACATAACATCATATATCACACTTCATTCACACAATAACACGCCACATCCTGCTGACAAGAAGTCAGGCGCTGTGAATAACCGACAACTATATCTAGGAATACCGCGAGGAATGTCGAAGGGCAATGACATCAGATGGCGGTCAGTCCATTCTTTGATAGTCTGTCAACAGTGTACATCTTGACCAATCAGGACTTCCTCAGATCTGTTCTAATGAGGATGATCTGTAAACCCATAAGGATGTAAATGGGATATAAGTGGATGTTCATGTCACAAGTGATGTGATGCAGCATCACGATTAGGCTTCAGATGTTGCATTATTCAAATCCATCAAGATTTTTATCGGAAAGTGGTGGACGCACACAATATGAGGAAATCGTAGGACGATATCTGGGTCACTTACTGATTGATATATTGCCATTATGCTATGGACACTGGTATAACCTTATATAAAGGCACATTCACCCGACCTGTAGACGTAATCGTATTCAAATATCTAACCTAATTGTACAAACGATTCCGTTCTTGAGAAGAAATGTGTAATTTATACCCATTGTATCCACTAATCTGTGATTCCTTACAAATGTTCGAGGGTTTGGGTTCTACACAAACGGAGATCGCAAGAGTGGGTGAGTGAGTCGGATTGTGAGCCAGTTTGTGAGTGAGTGAGTGAGAGTATGGTTTACACCGCGTTTAGCAATATTCCAGCAATATCTCTGCGGGGGACACCAGAAATGTGCTTCACACATTGTACCTATGTGAGGAATCGAACCCGGATCTTCAGCGTGACGAGCGAACGATTTAACCACTAGGCTACCCCGCCGCCCCTACGATCGCAAGAAGCGTTTAGGTAAACAGTTTAAGACGTTCAGAGACGTTATTGTGTATTTTACATTTCCCACGAGCATTTCATTTGAGTCAACTGTTTTTATTTCATATCCATGTAATGATATGCAATGTGAAAACCTTAGTAGTGCCAACCTGAAACAGCTGGAATATTGTTG